GTGATGCAGAAACCGTGCTTCATGCATGGAAGATGTTTCTTGTTATGCTACTTGTTTCAATCTTCAGTATTCCAATGGCTGTGATATTGAGCCCACGTGGGTTGACTTCTGTATACCGAGAAGATGGTCCATCTCTAAATGCAGAATTAATAAAAGAAGATCTTAAGCTAGCCCAGAAATTAGGTAATTGTTTTGTAAAACATGGCCCTAATGAAAAGCGTACTGGGAAGTTTAATTGTGAACTGAAGTTGTAGTCAGCCTCTTACAGTGAGTTGTATAACATCCTAACAAAACATGAGCACAATGATTAATCCTTTGAGGGGAACATTGAACATTTTTCAGTTTTAATGAAATTAATGTAAAATTAATTAATCCTCCACGCGCCGGAGATGTGAGGCCTAGGTCGTAATTTCGAACACTTTCTTTAATGACGATCGTTGTCTGTTTATTTTCTTATTTGGTGGCGTCTGCTATCGTCCATAAGTACTCTATCGCTCCTGAAAGTTTGTAACCGATTTGCTGAAACACTCTATATATTCAAGCTTACAGGCTGCATGTATTTACAAAAGTGTTAAAAGGTAACGAGATTATAGCTTCTCTTTCCGAAATTGCAACGTTCACCATGTAGATAAGTTATTTTAAGCAGGAGGTATGAAAAATGTGCAGTGAGGACCAGGACCCCTCGAAAACGTGTCGAGTATACCGTTACACCACGAAGGCATGCAGAAAGAAGGGGAAAACACTCCCCCTTTAAAAAAGCGAGTGTAGATTAGGGGACCCAATCGCCAAATCATGGTGGCGACGAATTAGTGTTCGCCACTTTTTAGTTCGTGCGCTACTGTAGAATCATTAGGATTTTTGAAGTAGGAAAAGCGAAAAATGAGCAATGTGCTCGCCGAGACTTGAACTTGAGGTCTCGAAATACGGGCCGAGTGTGCTACCGTTATACCACGAAGGCGTGCAGAAAGGAGGGAAAAATAACCTTATGACCGTATTATCCTAGATAATGGCAGTAATTTGATTTGAAGGCAGGAAAATGCAGTAGATTTAAAAGCGTGCAGAAAGGAGGGAAAAATTACCTTATGACCGTATTATCCTAAATAATGGCAGTAATTTGATTTGAAGGCAGGAAAATGCAGTGGATTTAAAGGCGTGCAGGAAGGAGGGAAAAATTACCTTATGACCATATTATCCTGAATAATGGCAGTAATTTGATTTGATCGCAGGAAAATGCAGTGGATTTAATTCTTAAGAAAAAGTGAAAATATACTATACTTTTATGACATGTTAATGAACTGCTTCATAAGGTAGTAATGTATGGAGCTTCTAAAAGTTTCGAAGAAGTTCTCGAAGCCCTGACTTACTTTGCTTACTTTGAGACTCTTACTGCGATACTGGGTCCTTCGGTATCGCAGTCAGCATCGCTAACCATTATCTTGTTTGGGCGGTTTCTAAATGGTTGACCTCTTGACCAAGAACCAACTTGGCATGGAAAACATGGATCTTAGCATGGAAAACAAAGAAAAAGAAGTCCGTTTTCCGCTTCCACTCCAAATACCTCATTGATCATTGAGGATACCTTTTGTGACTTTTCGTGACATTTTGAATAAAAGTTGCAGTTCCATACTTAAGTACCCCATTCTGTATATGAACTCCTAGGATACATGTTGTATTTCTCGCCAGTGTGGTTGGTCAAACTTAGAAAGCCTTGAATTTCTCTCTAAGTATCATGAGACATATGTTAATGAAAAAAGAAATATGTCAATGTTCTATTGTCCAATACTGCTGATCAAAAATTCATACCTTCCATTTTTCTGCAACCCAAAGCATTCACAAAATATCTTCCGTTTGCAAATTAGTTTCTCTAGTGGCATTTCACATTTATAAAAACATTTTACTGTTTTAGATAATGATTTCAATTCTAATCTGTCTTTAAAATAAACTTTTAAGGAAATTATTTCATAATTGGTTTCACCTTTTTCAATAGATGTCGCCGATTGCTTTGTTTCTTTTCTTAATTGGGAACTTTTCGAATTTTCTAGTCTATTATTATCGCCTGAACACAGACTTCATCATTTTCCCTCCTTTCCTTCCTACAGCGGAAGAAGAAGGTTCTATTCAAAACTTTGAAACTGAACCTGCCAATTTATGCAAACAATGAGTCTTACTAATTCAGAAGTCAAACAACAAAAATCAGCGTTATATTTACATGACTTCTGAATTGGTATTTATTCGGCGTGTTATTGTGTCTTAATTAATGAGTCTTTGCTCTGTTATCTCAATTATTGTACTAAATGGTTCAATATAACAGTCCTTTTAAGAAAATTGTCAATGAATGCTTATCGTGCTTATAGTTCCATTCTAAAATATTAATAATTGTAGACGTCCAATAGTAATGTTAATTATAGCGAAAGTAAACAGTAACACTCATTTCGCTCACGAGATGTGGGTATCATATGCGATAACATTACCAGATATATCTTACACAATTTTGAATAAAAAATATTAAGAAACAACAAATACGTGCTTCGGGCAGAGATGTGCTTCTTTTTTTTTTTTTTTTTTTTTTTTTTGATAGCAGAGACTTTGTAACTTATCTTTTATTCTTGATGTTATGTTGTGAATTTTAATTATAATAAATGTTTGTTTTAAGTTATCATTATTCTAGTACTTTTTTTGTTTGTACCCATGTGTATTCTAATCTGGTAAAAGAGCTTTCTAAAGTTGTTAGGGCTTTATTTGGCTTCTTATTCTTGAGACTGTAGTGTAAACAAAGACAAGAAACGGTTGCAAGAGCCACCTGGTTTATGGCCTTTTACTGACAGTGGAAGCAGTTAGGGAGTTGTGTTGTCACTTTCTTCGCTGGTGACCTTTTTACTAATGGCATTGAAACGAAAATCGTCTTGCTTTTGCTTTGTTATAGTTGCAATTTTGTTTACTTCGAGACAGTGGGGATTGCTGTAAGCTTAGGTAATTGGATTCTCGTATAGCTTAGTTTCCGCTTGTTAGCTGGGGGGCCCACTTTACATCCTACGTTGAAAGTACAGATGGTCAGGACTGCTTTGTCCAGATTGCCTTCTTTTTGATTCGTTGTGGGGGTGTAATTTCCTCAGTTCAGATAACGTAAAATTCTGGGATTGGTGTGATTTAATTTTATGATTTTTGTTAAGCCTATGAAATTTTCGGGGGCAGAGAGACGAGTTTACTTAGGTGCTCACACCTTGTTAGAATTCATATGGACTGATTTTTTGAGCTAAAAGGAAAAAGAGAAAAAGAGCGGGGGCTTCACCCCTTGTGGGTCTTGCTCTCGCGAGCGACATGAACCAGCGGTTTGCGATTATGGTTGTAGCGGAGTTTGATTTAAGTGAATTTTGAGCAGCCGCGATGTGAAAGAGAAAGAAAGATCGAGGGGCATTTTGCCCTGCTGTAGGCATCCTGAGCAAGAAGGCTTGAGTTGCGTTTTCCCTCCTTGCTCTAGTGGATGCATTCTTTTCTTCAAGATGTTTCAAAGTTTTGTGTGATAGATGCAAGGAACATTTTCGTGCGAGATGTCTAGAGAAATATGCACTAGCTGCAAAGAGCATTTTACTGAGAGCTGATTACTACTTTAGTGCAAGATGTATGAGCTCCAAAGAGGATTTTACTGAGAGCTGATTACTACTTTAGTGCGAGATATAGAGCAAATCTACCAAGAAAATTTAGCACAGATCTTCTCTCTTCACCCGAATCGCCGGTTTATCTCCAAGAGCCTTTTTCCGAAACATTCAGCATAAAATGTTGATTCGCCGCTTCAATGATGCAAGTGATCGTGCTAAAAACTGGTGTATGTTCAGCTACCTGTTATTGAATTGAAATAAAGATCCTTCTAAATTGGACTATTGGTTCCCACCTAAAGGACAGATAAAGCGATTCCTGGTTGTTTGAAGAATTATTAGACTGTAGTTTCCACTCATGATTCCTAATAATTTTAGACGCTTCCGAAAGGGTTGTGACAAAAGGAAAAATGGGCTTGGCTCATTTCCCTGTGGATTGGACACTAAAGATCCCACTACATAGAAAACTGTCTTCCATCTGTGAGTGAAATTTTTTTAAAGATTATTTTCTTTCTTTCCTTAGTTTTCCCAATGCCGTGGTGGAACAGTTAATAATGATTTATCTACCTGTATATATTGTCATTACTTATATAAATTAAATATAGCTAGTTAGTAATATTGAGAAGTGATTTATAATTTCAAGTTAAGGCCAGTTTTAGAAGGATAAAAATTTGTTTCATCTACTGAATTTATGAGTTAGAAAAATGTAAATTTCTAATTAATGAGAACCATTTATTTGAGGATTAAAAATATGTTATACCTTCTTAATTTATGAAAAAAATGTTTTAATTATTGAACATTAAAAATGTTTTAATTATTTGTGTGACATTATATGTTACTTTTCATGGTAATACATGTGGCAGGATTATTGATCAGTTATCTAAATGTTCAAAAATTCTCACCAAATTTGTTACCTCAAGAACTTACTCGGAAATAACTATCTATATCTCTTTAGTTATTTATGACTCTACAATAATTAAATAATTCCTTTACTCATATTCTCAAATGATGAAAACAAAAGTTACACTAACTCTCTAAAAAGAACAACATCATAGTATGTTGCCATTCTATGAAACATAAACTGTTACAAAACATAGATAATAATAATATGAATAGATAATAAATAAAAAAAAACCTATAGAGTAAAGATAACGATTACATCTGCTTGAAGCTTGTGCAATATTACTCAGAAGCTGCAGTTAGAAAAAATATAAACAAAAATATTAGAGTCAAAATATTGTTCATCCTCCCACCTTGCAATATGAAATTCGGGATTGAGTATTGCAAAATAAATAAAAAATTAAACATTTGTTCTCACAAGTCCAATCGATGAGGAACTCTAATTGTCCTTTCCTGATTTGGTTATCGTGGGCGATTTTAAATGGGTATGGATTATTCTATTTGTTTCTACAGGTACATCCTCAACTGGAGTTTAGCTCTACCGAAATATTTTCGCATGGTTGACTTCCGCTGAATTTCGATGGAAGTTCCTCGGCAGTCGATAATTCCAAAGGATAAAGATTTTGTACAGCTCTTACGACTTCTCCATTTTGCACTTCTTATAAGAGGATGATCACTTGGCAAAATAGCAGGAGTTCTGAACTCAGATGTATCTTCTCTTTGAAATATTGCTGTTTTAGTTCTGATGATCCCACAATCAATGAATGGATTAAGACTTAAAATCCGTTTATCTTCTGTTCCATTAAAGGACTCATTTTGTATTAAACGAATCAAGATATTCTCTGCTTCATTTAACTCAGATACAGTAAGTTCATCCTTTTTCTTGTTTTGATGTTTACAGTTGTAAACAAAACGACACATCCACGCTACCAGTCTGATTGTCTTACGATAACTTGAGAATCTAGTAGCAACTATTTCACTAGCATTAAGATTTATTAAGGACGAAATAATCCTTTTCTTTTTCTCAAGAGCTATTTCTTCTTCATCAGCACTAAAATCTTCTTTTGGCCATTTTTCAGGTGATAAATATAGCCATTTAGGTCCTTCCCACCATCTGGATTTAATTAAATAAGAAGCAGAGCATCCTCTATACTGGGCAAATCAGCAGGATTCAGTGATCCTGGTACGTGCCTCCAGGATTCAATAGAAGTCAGTTGCTTTATTTCCTTAATTCTGTTGTGAACAAATACGTCCCATACTTCATTTCTCTGTATCCAAGCTAGCACAGTAGACGAATCTGTCCAAAAATAAATATCATCAGCTTGAAATTCAGGTATTATGCTGGATGCTAAACGTGCACATATTGTAGCTCCAAGAAGTTCCAATCGAGCTATTGTTGTCTTTTTCCTTCCGCTGGGTGCAACTCTCGCTTTAGCTTGCACCAAATGAACTTGAACCGAATCTCTTGTTTGTACTCGAACAAAGGCCACAGCTGAATATGCAAGTTTACTCGCATCACTGAAGAAATGAAGTGAGATATTTTCAATCTCACGATCACAGTTTAACCATCTTGGTATTCTCATTCTTTCCAGACACTGCAAATCATTCAACCATTTACAAAATTGTGATTTTGAATTTGAATCAACTTCTTGGTCCCAAGATAACTTAACTTCCCATAGGTGCTGAAGTAAAAGTTTCGGCACAAGAGTTACGGGGCAAGCTATTCCTAAAGGGTCGAATATTTTGTGTGTAGTAGCTAAAATCTCTCTTTTAGACAAAATTTCTGGTAGACTGTAGGTGATGTTTAGTAATATTAAGGCAAAGGTAATCTCCACATCGTTCCCAAATCATTCCTAATACATTTGTGGTACTAGAGGAATTATCTGTTGGGTCACTATATTCCCAACCACGTAATTCTAGCTTTCTTGTAGCTAAAGTATCTGAAGCAACTTGTATGAATTGTTGCAATTCTAAATCATTTTTCACACTCGCTAAACAATTATCTACATAAAAGCTCTTCTTCAATTGCTCAATAATATCCACTTTATACTTTGGGTTTCCATTTAGTTGTTTCAAAGTGGATTCTAGAAGATGGTGAATTACAGAAACTAGCAAGAAAGGGCTGCTTGTAACTCCAAATACTACCCTACAATGCCTGTAATACTTCAGTTTTCCATCAGTTCTATACCATAAGAATCTTAGATAGTCTTTATCCTTAGGGTTGAGACTTATTTGTAAGAATGCTTTTCGTATATCTGCAGAAACTCCTATTCTGTTCATTCGGAATCTATGAAGAATTGAAGGAATCAGTTCGATAAGGTTCTGACCTTTTTCTAGACAATCATTGAGACTAGGGGATCCTTTTTGTTTGGCCGAGGCATCAAACACTGGCCTGATTCGTGTAGTACTGTTTTCTTTTACTACGTGTCGATGTGGTAGATAATGGCATGTTACATCAATTTCGCTTTTTGGTACTTCTTCTATGATGCCTTCTTGTTCCCATTCACTAAAAACTTCTCCATAAGCATCATAAAGTTTCTCAGCTTTTAGTCGTTTTACTGTAGAAGCTAATCTCTTTACAGCTAAGTCATAGTTATCTTTTAACGGTAGATGGTTATCAAGCCATGGCAAGCTGACTTGAAAACGCCCCTCTTCGTTCACCTTTACAGTAGACAAGAAATGATCTCTTGCTTCTTCTTGAAGTTCCAGTTTACTTTTCTTCTCTGATGGATCTAGAATTCCAAGTGAATCTAGAGACCATAGATCGGATATCAATATTTCCTTATTCAACATGGATGTGACGAGCAGTGCGGAATTGTCCGAGATCTCACGCATACCATTTTTCCCGAAAAGAGTCCAACCAAGTTTTGTTTCTATAGCAGCAAGGCCTGAAGTAAGCAATTTAAATCCTCCGGTCATCAACTTGCCTGCAATGTCAGCGCCAATAAGTATTTCTATTGGTCCATTACTATCGTCGCATACGGATATATTGTTCTCTTTAAGCTCTTGAATCCACTCGCCATTAGCAACTGGTGGTATACTTCCACAAATAATATCTTGGCTAAGAGCTTTGAAGTTACAATGATAAGTTCCATCCGTTTTAGACAAGAACACTGTAAAAACATCGTGGTTTATGACATCAGTACATGACCCGCCAAATAATGAATGGCTCAATCTTTCTTTAGATGTACTCTCAAATTTCATTTCATCTGCAGTGCTTTTTAAAATATAAGATCTCTGTGAAGCTGAATCGATAATAGCACGGGCCTGGCGCTTTCTATCTCGCCCTTTCAATGTAACCGTTAAAGTTTGCAAAAACACATTTGTTGTTTCTCGCCAAATTGGCGAGGGTTTCATCTCGTTCAGGTACTGCATCCGTATTTTCATCCTTATTCATGCTAACAGGAACTGGAGATTTTGATTCAGCTTGGATATTTCTACATAAAAGTATGTGGTGTTTCTTCCCACAAATCACACACGATGTTCGTTTTTTACATTTAGCTATTACATGTTTTCTGTCTAAACATAAAAAGCAACTGCTGCGACTATTTAGAACTGCTTTTTGCCTTTCCTCAGACGTCATCTTTCTTGCTTTAACGCAATCACCAGATGCATGATTTCCAGCACAAAAAATACATCCAGTTGAATTTTGTTCAGATGTTGCTATTAGAGTAGAAGCAGAAGGTGTTTTGGAAAATTCTCCACGGTTTTTGAAACCAAAGTGTTTAGCATTCCCAGGCTTAGGTGTCTGATATTTAGTAAAGCACTGAGTAGCTATAGATACTCTCTCTTCACCTTCAATTTCATCGAGCAAAAATGAAAGCAAACCATCTAAATCCATGCGATGTGTTGACGCATTTTTCTCTTTTTGCTCACTACTTTCAGATTCTCTCTGACTGCGATTAATAACTCGGAATCTTTGCCATGCTCTTAATGTATCATCCGGCAATGACGATTCGACTAGAGGATATAACATCGCCGCATATTTATCTCTAGCAACACCCAGAACTTCTAACGCTCTTAGTTTTCGATTCTAAGTTATCATAGAGTTTTCGTAATGAAAATTTCTGCTGAGAGTTTTTTAATAATACTAACGAAAGTAGATCTCTAACATAGACTTCTATAAGAAGGTCTTCTTTCCCAAAACGCGATTGCAGTTGTTCTAAAGCTTTACTATAACTTTCGCCACCGGGCGGAAAGCTTTTGATTAACTCTTCAGCAGATGACCCTTTTTCCATAGACTGCAATAAATATGCAAATTTATCATGATCATCTAAATTGGGATCATTATCGATCTTTTTAAACTGGCCCCAAAATCCTAACCAGCTTTTAATATTCCCATCAAAAATCGGAAGTTTAAGCTTAGGATAACGAATAGTAGCATTTTGAGTTAAGCTTTCATTAACAACAGAACCGTTTTCCTTTTCAGCTAAAAGCGAAACTAATTTACTTTCTACCATTCTCCACTTATCAATATAGCATTCCGACTCATCAAACTCGTTATTTATCACAGTTTCATCTTTTTCAATTTTAATCAATTCTTCTCTATAAGTCTGTTCTATTTCAATCATAGGTTTTGCTTTGTCCTCAACTAATTTAAGTTTCGAAATTTTTCCGTCTAAAGATAAATCATTTTCATTCTTCTCAAAATCATTTAAAGCTTTCCGAAAATTTAAAGATTCTTCTCTATAATATTTCAATCATTTCCTCACTAATTTAGTTTCGAAATTTTTCCGTCTAAAGATAAATCATTTTCATTCTTCTCAAATCATTTAAAGCTTTTGTAAACAATCTCCTAAATTGAGATCGTTTGCACTTCAAAACATCCATTATAAATAAACGAAAGAATTCTACTTACAGATAACAGTCCAGTCAGCGGACGCCAAATGTTCAAAAATTCTCACCAAATTTGTTACCTCAAGAACAGATTTATTACTCGGAAATAACTATCTATATCTCTTTAGTTATTTATGACTCTACAATAATTAAATAATTCCTTTACTCATACTCTCAAATGATGAAAACAAAAGTTACACACTAACTCTCCAAAAAAAAAAAGAACAACATCATAATATGTTGCCATTCTCTGAAACATAAACTGTTACAAAAACATAGATAATAATAATATGAATAGATAATGAATAAAAAAAAACCTATAGAGTAAAGAAAACGATTACATCTGCTTGAAGCTTGTGCAATATTACTCAGAAGCTGCAGTTAGAAAATATAAACAAAAATATTAGAGTCAAATATCGTTCACTAATATTTAGTAATAATATTATTCTAGAAATCAATAAATGTGTATGTTTAAAATTTAATTGCATTTTTTTTTATCTTGTGTGTATATTTTTTGAGTGGTCTGTCATGTCCTTACATTTGCTTGAGCCTGGAGGCTTTTATTCAATTTGGTGTTATTGATTTTCCTTTTACTTAGGTTTTCTCACAACGCTAACCTAAAATTTGATTTGTACTACCACTATGCAATTGATCTTATGATATATTATGAATTTGATTTGTTTTGATTATTTTTAGTTAGTTTTGTCTGGCACCATGTGTTAAATTGAGTCAAAGTTAAAACTCATAAAAGTTTAAAACCCCTAATTTTCAGCTATTTAACAGATGTGAAATTCAGTTTTTGTGTTTTTTTAACTTTAATGCAGATTGGAACAGTACATATACCTAGCGTAGCTGTTGGGGTGGCGTCTGATTGGTCAGTTTTTAAAAATTTCGAGTCAGATGGGGCCGGAATTAATGCAAGTTTATAACAAAATATTCAGAAAATCGCACTGATACATGGCGGATGGGATAGCAGGAAAATATTCCAATGATTTTTATTTCCATTTGCTTCTACCATCAGTACCAAGTTCTTTTTTAAAAATAATACGAAAAGCTTGTCTTGTTTGTCTAATGTCAGTTTTCCATCAAATATTGGAGGACATCTAAGTAGTTTCTAAGATGTATTTATTTTTGTAAAGATTATATGGAACATAATTCTTTGACATGTATTAAGTAAAATTGAAAGTTAGCTTGCCTGCTAGTTGGTTTATGGTGGACTATAATCTGATAAATGTCACCAGTTTTTAAAATCAGGAGATCAAGGAATTAAATGATATTAACTTCTCTGTTAATTGTAAACAGTAAGTTAGGGGAGTATTCTGAGATAAATGAAAGTAGTGCTTTGAGTTCTGAATTCTGTTGGATAAATATATCATCAATATACCTCTTGCAGAAAGATGGATGTGTTTGACATTGACACTGCCATAAAGAGACCTTCCTTTATTTAGCTCTAAACATTGTAAAATTTAAAATAAAATAAAATAAAATAAAAAAAACACTTCGCATATATTGGTAGTAAATCTATTGTTGGAGATAGCATCAACACCAACATACTGCATTTTGCAAATTATCTGCTTATCCTTGCATAAAATACTACCTTGGAAATATTAAACTTGATTCAGATTACAGGACACCAAAACTTTTCATATAGATCAAAACCCATAGAGATCATCTAGCCACACTTTTGGTAAATAGTAGAATTTCACAGTCCAGCAAATTTGAGAAACATACTGCCAACATATCAGGTGTGCATTCTACAAGAGAATTTCAAGCAGAGATTGCAAAACTAATGGGTCCTGACATTGCCATGTTTGCACTGGATGTTAAATCTTAGTTTTTGCATATCCATTCGCATCCAAATTTATTACCATTATGAAGCCTTCCATTTCATTCGAGCGAACTAGCAAACCTACAAGCAGAAAGGTCTCTTTGTGAGAGTGTCAATGCCACCCACTTTGGTTGAAATTTAAACGTAAAATTAAGAAAAATACTGTTTTCATGAAGTTCTCCCTAAATATCTCTTTAAGGGGAGGGAGGTGTGTGGGTATCCTTGTCCTGTGGAAACATTTAGAACACAAATTCAAACTTCTCTAACCATCAGTTTATGATTAGCAGAAAAAATAATAATAGTATTCACTTGTTTGATTTCCTGATTTTAAAAACTTGCAACAGATATAGTCTACCATAAACCAACTGGCAATTCAGTCAACTTTCGGTTTTACTTAAAATGGGTAAAAGATTTCTAATCTACTTCCAGAGTTTTACAACATGCCTTCACATTTTGTTGAAAAATTTATCAGTTTTGCAGTTATTTCTGAAAAAGTAAAGTTGCTATCGACAAAGAATGCAATCATCAAATGGAAAAATTATTTGGAACATTCCTTTTATTATCTCATCACCCCACATGTCAATTACATTTTCAAGACTTGGTTTTAAAATCACAGCTTTGGCATCATCTATTTGAAAATTTCTAAGAACAGATATATTACATGACACAAAAACAGATATTCAGGTGTGTATAACCCCAAAATATGTAATCATAGAATGTGGGAGGGGTTTTTACATTGCATGGTGACATCATTTAAGAGGAACTTCAACCTGACTTTAATTCAGTTTGCAATACAATTTTGATGTAAAATACATTTTTATTTAATTCAATATTCTAAATTTTTATGTTCTCTGTCTAATTTCATTAAGTTTTCTTGCACTTCTATATTGAGAAAAATCCTGAGTAGCTTTATTTATCAAAGTACTTTTAAGTATGATGAGAAAGTTAATAATTAAATATTTTTTGGATAAACTTAGTATTGCATCACATATTGAAGTAAATAAAATTCATACAATATTAAGTGATTAAACATTGCTTGAATCTTTACATAAAAATCTACAAATGCCTGTAGTGGATTAAGACAACTCTGATCAAGTAAAATTAAGTAAGATCAATAAAATGTAAATAGAATATACTATTCAGATGAAGTGCAATTTACTAAGAAAAATTATTCTGAAACTCATCAGAAGTGGCAGGAATGGAATTCAAAAAATTTCACTTAATGCTGGGAGGCATTTTTGTTAGTTAATTAAGGCTAAAAATTAAAAACTGGGAGATTGGGTGATCTGCGGTAGCTGGCAACTATGGTATACCATCAAGATCCACAGTAAAGACATAGAAAACATATTTGTCAGTCATTTATCTGGAAAATTATAACTGATATAATTATAAAGAAGACATCTGAAAATTCTTTGCCATCAACAAAAAAGAACATCTCTGGTTAAATACATGCCTTAGCATCCCACCACTAAACTTTATTGTAAAAGAGACATTCTTTTCAATTTACCTTACATCTGGACAATGAGAAATACAGGAACTCAACATAAAACAATAAAAGTGAGGAACTCTATCCAGGCGTTCATTCCAGCTCTGGCTGAACTTTCCTTCCACTCTTAATTTTTTTTCCATCACTTAATGGACATGGTCCAAAAATTTCATTGCTTTCTGAAGAATTCGCTAGAGAGCTGAAAACAGGTGAACTTTTGTTACAGACAAAAATGCTCATTTTAATAGATTATATTTTTAAAAACCTGTCTTTAAAAATATCTAACCTAATAAAACTCTTTTTCCTACAGCTTGCTTGCAGTTTGTTATGGAAGGATTGAAAGAATTGCTGAACTTTCTGAAAAAGACAATTTGCAGCAGTCCCCCTTTCTGCCTTCATAATCAAGTTCTTTTTTATATATGCATACTTTATGAGTTAGAATTCAACAGCACATAAAATACATTTAATATTTCAATTCCATTCATATAAAAATGTTTGCATGTTATACATAAAAAGATTGAATAAAAATGTTTGATTCGTATAAAAATCTGCATGCTGGTCTTACAACCAGCGCATTTCACATTCCATAAAAGTGCTTTTTGCAATGATGATGAATTTTCCCCACACAGGAACTGCAAATATCATCCTAAAATAAAAAGAAATGTATACAAAGAAATGTTCATAACAATAATACACTCAAAAAATTACAATCTTTCCAAATTCCCATTACACTAAAACAACATTTTGTGTAAAAAAAAATGAAAATCCTATGTGAAAACACACATTTATGGTATGATAACAAATAACACCTATATTCATCTTGAAAGACAACATCTCAAAATAAGTTGGATGCATGAGTAATTTAACTATTTTCCTCTCAGTCTAACACCTCAAACAGTCCCAGTGGCAGCATCGTGCCTATGCAAAGCTGCTTCAGAAAGATTAGTTAAGGTTATTTTTTATTATAGTAAAGCAGAAGAGGGCTATTTTCCTAAGGAAATGGATACCTCTGGATATGACTTTCTAATGGAAACTAGTTCATATTCAGATTACACACAGTTAAAACCAGATATTGCAATGACGCATTCACCTGGATCAAACTACCAGTATTCAATGGTCTTAATTACTCAGTTATTTGTGGAGCAGTAAAAAAAAACGTTAATTGATGTGGAGGGGGGAATTTCTGTGTTGTACAATGAAATTAAATTTATATCTGTTATAATTAAGAGGTGTTATTGCTTTAAAATTAATCTGTTTGTTAATCAGGAGCAGAATGATTAAATTTTAATTTATCATTACAGGTCTTACGTTTTGCACAGGAACAAAGTACTGCTTTTAAATAGCTTAATTCATTAAGGATCTCACTATCATTCAAATGGCAACATCAGCTGAAAAATAACATCCTTCTTACTGAAAACTCTGCAGCTCATAACATAAATGTTACTTTAAAATATACTGAAATTCATATTTGTTAGCAAATATCACAACCATGTGCTCAAAGGATTATTAGAAATTATTATTAGAACAATGAAAGAACATTATCACCTTGAAATGAATGAGGAATAAAAACTAGCGCATCATTTAATAAACTTTTTGAAGAAGATGATGAAATCCATGAATTTAATATAAATGATGAGATGAAGGATGCTGTATAAATATTAAGATCAGCAGTACAGTATCAATCAAATATAATATAAATATATTATAAACAGGA